TATGTGTGTATATGTGTGTGTTTGCATACATATATGTGGTTTTGTGCATGCGTTGTAATGTATTTTTTATTTTTTGGCTTTTTACGTCTCTTTTGCTGTGTTTTTCAGTGTTTTTATGAGTGATGGTCACTCGTTGGCCTGTTGCATGTATTGTGTCCAAATTTGGTGTCAATTCGTCCAGTGGTTTTTGAGTTATGCTAATCCCACAAATGAACATTACATTTTTATTTATATAGATAAAAGTTATTTCAAATTTGAATCAAATGTTTTTACAACACAACCCCCTTATCTCCTGGGTATATTTTTCAAGACACACACACCTGTGCATATCTAAAACGGGCTCTATAATTTGACTATACCATAAGGCAAAATAGCACGACAGGATGTAGAGTTGTCCACATCTGGTGGGGTAGAGTATTTTTTGAGGCATGCATAAGTGAAGCTGTGTTTGTCAAGTCCCTCGATAAGAGGGTAATACTATATACCTAATCACTGATTATGAATTAGTGTTATGATTGTTACTTCTTTGTAGACACTTTATCTCAGGAGCCCACAAACTTTTTAAACAGAGGGCCAGGTCACAGTCCCTCAAACTGTTGGAGGGCAGGATTATAATTTGAAAAAAAAAACATGAATGAATTCCTATGCACACTGCACATATCTTATTTTTAGTGCAAACACTTTAAAACAATACAATAATTAAAATGAAGAACAATTTTAATAAATATAGCTTATTAGTATTTCAATGGGAAGTGTGGGCCTGTTTTTGGCTGATGAGATAGAATTGTTGTGTGCTTTCAAGTCATTTCAGACTTAGGTTGACCCTGAGCGAGGGCCGGGTAAATGACCTTGGAGGGCCGTATCCAGCCCCTGGGCCTTAGTTTGAGGACCCCTGCTTTATCTCATGAGAAATAATTAAAATAAAGAATCCTGTAAATCAGTGGAGCTTACATATTTTCCAGATGTTCTGGTCATTTCACATTCACCCATCTATCAAACTATACCACAAGACATAGAGAAGCTGTAACTACACCACACCTGTAATATATCAGTCCATACTAAAGTAGTTATGATTCATGAGCAAATTTCGTGCCCAGAATCTGGGCATAGAGTATTGAAAACTGTCTTAACTCTATTGTCTGATCCGCACAGATCCCTCCCAATTCCAGTTATTCAAAACTACTTTGTAATGTATATTTCTGTAAAGGAGAAAACATATATATCATCAAATATGAAATGCAGCACAGGGCTTGCCTTGTGCAAAGTACATCAGTATTATCCTGATTAATGGGCTGATTTGCACTGATTTTAATTGTTTTAGATTTGACATCTCCATCCCATCCTCTGCTATCAGTCTGCATGCCAATGACTTAAATAATGAAATAGCTTTCTAATATCTACAGAGATACTCCCAGGAACACCTCAGCAAGTGAGAGTCCAGAAGTGGCAGGTAAAAACTGGAACCTCAATCAGTGGGTGATACTGCATGAGAAACACTTTCTGGGGCTCTCAAAAGGCTGGGCAACTTGGAAGGCACTGAACAGACTGTGCTCTGGCACCATGAGATGCAGAGCCAATCTGAAAAAACAGGGCTACAAAGTGGAGTGCACGACATGTGAGTGTGGAGAAGAGCAAACCACAGACCACTTACTACAATGCAGCCTGAGCCCTGCCACATGCAATGGAGAACCTTCTTATAGCGACACCAGAGGCACTCCAAGTGGCCAGCTTCTAGTCAAAGGAAATTTAGCATAATGCCAAGTTTTTAACTTTGTGTTTTTTATACATTATAACCATATTCCCAATTTGCTTCTGACACGATAAATAAAATTAATGCAATTTATTAATTTATTAATAAAATAAATAAAATAAAAAGGAACTGGTTAGACAAAATTCCAGATGAAGATCTTCCTTTTAGTCAGGAAACAGGATTCTTCAATCACTCACAGGAAGTCAACACTTGCAAAGATAATGCTATGCCCCAACAATATTAAAGTAAGAAACCATAACAGAAGTTTGTTGGTTATTGGCATTCAAATCATGGCAAACAGTGCAAAGACCCTCACTTCTGCTCAGCCTGACCCAAGACAAACCATTTGCAGGCATAAGAAGAGGATAATCATGTCTTGTTTATCATGCAATGCAGTCCAGAAGGAATACAAACAAAGGTTCATGGAGGGAGGGATGAGAAGAACATAATATCTAATCTTATGTAAATGAATTCAATAGAACACACTTCCAACTTCCTTTACAGTCTTACTTAAAGCATAGGTAAAGGTTTCCCCTGACATGAAGTCTACTGATACCTGACTCTGGGGGATGGTGCTCATCTCCATTTCTAAAGCAAAGAGCGGCATTGTCCATAGACACTTGCAAGGTTATGTGGTCAGCATGACTGCATGGAGCACGGTTAACTTCCTGCACAAGCGGTACCTATTCATCTACCCACATTTGCATGTTTTTGAACTGCTAGGTCGGCAGAAGCTGGGCCTAACAGCAAGAGCTCACCTCACTCCCTGGATTTGAACTGCCAAACTTTTGGTCAGCAAGTTCAGCAGCTCAGTGGTTTAACCTGCTGTGCCATACTTACAAATAAAAATGCTAAGAAAACTATTCTAGAAAATTGAGTTTTTTAAAAAATAAAAGAAACAAAGGAGCATTAAAAAAACAATGTATGCACATTTGCTGCTATTCTCCAGGTCAAATCACATTGCTGCATTAGAAAAATTGTTCACTGGACAGAGCTTAGGAGGAAAGCTATTTTACACCTTCTCGCTTCCTTTCACATGACAGAATCATTAACATGATAATGCTCAGTAAGCTTCCCTCAGCCCATTTCCACATGAAACCCCTAGTATGTTTCATATATTGTATGGCTAATGTTCAGATAAGGCCTCTAGGAAACACAGAGGTACGATTATATTGCATTGTAATTCAAATGATCTTTGACCAGTCAATGACACTCAAGCTATGATGTGCTATTTATATTTGTAATCTGACAAGAGGCTGTTTGCAAAAGAAATGTCACTCCCCTGGGGCCGTTTGAGAACCAGGGCTCATGTTAACCAAGTCCTTTTTTAAATGTATCTGGGTCACAAATCATAATCATGTCACAGTTGTGAGGACACACAAGCAAAAAAACAGTGGAAGACGCCTCCCCTTTGCTTATCCATTCAAGGCTTGACATCAGCTTGAAAGGGAGGAAAATAGGGTACCAGGATCACCAGTGCTCCAAATAATAAAATGGATACACATTTACAAAGGTAGCATTTGGTTTGGAGAGTCAGAGACCAGACAGGCTCTTGAAATCAGTATTCAGTAATGCCAATGCTGTAGAGTCAAATATTCAACCACTTAAAGCAAATTGATGCATTTATCCGACTGCAAACAAGTCCTACTGGCTTCAGAGGAACCTGCTTCCATATGTAAGATGGAAGCAAAGAGCACTGAATCCTTAAGCTCCCCTACTTGGAATTCATCTTGTGCTTCGGCTTCACTGTATTGTGAATCGGAGTGTCTGTTTTTATTACTGTGATCTGTAAACAATGAAAAAGTGTATATTTTCAGTGCTGTGAATTAGAAGCAACGTTTCAAAGTGGGAGGATAAAATCCAAGTCAGGGAGAAAACATATGACACTCCCAAGCATCACGTTTCGCTGAGAAAAGCTCCCACTTCCTAAAGCATATGACATTCATTCTCGATGTGGCATAACCTTCTGATGCCAACAACTGCACTGACAGCAGGTACGGTGACTGAACAGCAGGGCGATAACAGTTGACCTCACCAAATGCAGATGGCGTTGATCCAAATATAATCCTGGGAGTGGGCAGTGCTTGGGGGGCGAGGAGAGCAGGCTGCAGTGAGTACAAAGCAGGAGCCATGGCGGGAACGAGCATCTTTGGAAAAGAAGCATCTCTAGACTGCTGTTTAGGATTTCTATTTCTATTTGCTATTCTCAGTGGATTTAGGGAGCTGTCAGCCTCATTTCCTACCAGTAATGATGGGAGAGAGAATGCGGGGATGACATAAAACTGGGCAAGAGCTTAATGTACAGGATTCTGTGCTGTTCATGCATGATGCACCAAACACGACAGATCTCTTTATTGGTTCAGTCCTTTGAGAGAGTCTCATCTATCTGCGACGAAGGCTACAATGTAATTTTAGGTTCATACAAGATAGATAGATAGATAGATAGATAGATAGATAGATAGATAGATAGATAGATAATGTCTATTTGAAAGTATGGTTACAATGTAATTTTAGCTTCATTAAAAATATGTACATGTATTGCTAATGCCTATCTATTTGAGATTATGGTTCCAATGTAATTTTAGGTTCACAACAGATATGTATGTAGATGCACAGATAACGTTTGGCAAGGGGTACAGGAGATGCACAAACCCCCTTCTGGAAAATCCACAAGGAAGAACATCCACAGAAATGATTCCCCACCGCAAAGGCATGGCGGTGCCAGCCAACCCACCCCTCTGAGAAGAGACTATCCCGATTACGGAGGGCGATTGCAACCCTGCAAGTGGCGTAGCTAGTGAATCCCCTTTAAAAAGAGGAGAAAGAAACGGAGAGGGGGGTGTCAAATGCTTGCCCAAGGCTGCAACTTTCTTCCCTCTAATAGCCTCTTTGGAGGGCTATTTTTAAATAGGAAGGCGGCATAAATCAGGCACATAAACCACAGGCACACACACACACACACACACAGACACCGCCATTCCCCAGCCAGTCAATGATAAACTAGGAGCAGGAGCTGCCAGATCCTGGGGCTGAGAATGCGAGCCATCCCCGCAGCCTTTGGCGCTGCTGCCGCAGATTCCCCCTTGGCAAGGCGTGCTTCTCCTCCTCCTCCTCCTCCTCCTCCTCCTCCCCCCTTGCCCACGCGCGCCCTAAAAACACCGGATTAAATGCCACAAAGACAGAACAAGACACATCCCCAGGCAGGTCCCAAGCTTTGCCCTTGCTCCGAGGGCCGGTTGGGGCCACTCACCCAAAAAACGAAGGAGTAGATGATGAGGAGGGTTTTCAGACACGTTATCACGGGTTTGGTCTCCATTCTCCTCGATGCCATAATACTGAAATCCCGGCTGCGGGCGCTGGGCAAAGGAGGGAGGGAGGGAGGGAGGAGAAAAGAGGGGAGGAGGAGGAGGGAAGGATGAGGAGGAGGAGGAGGAAGGGAGCCGAGCTCGGTCCTTGCCTCCTCCACGCAGGTCCCTGGGCTCTGTCGCCCACGGTTGGGAAGGCGGGCTGCTCATAGAAAGCTACCAGCCCACCATGAAGACAACCCCATTGTGTGGGAACAGCAGAGAAGAAGGCGGTAGGGGCTGGTCGCCTTCGTCCACGGTGCTACCTGGCCTGCCATAGAAGGCGAGGCAATGGAGACGCCTTCCCCACTTTCCCCTTCCCCACCTCCTTCAGGAGAAAGGGGCAAGCGGGGCAGGAAGGCACTGAAGGAGAAGGGATGGGGAGAGGGTGCATTCACTAATGCAGAATGCCCGGCCATGATGGCATCTCTTCTCTACAGGTTGAGCATCCTGCCCTTCTCCAGATACAGTGAAGACACCTGCCCTTGTGCTGCTGGGTATGCATGCCCAGTGTGGAACACATCTCACCACGCTAAAACAGTAGATGTGGCTCTTAATGAGACATGCAGCATTATCATGGGGTGTCTGCGCCCTACACCACTGGAGAAATTACACTGTTTAGCTAGTATTGCACCACCTGCAATACTAGCTAAAGGACCAAGGCAGTGACATCTCTGGCCCACCCCCTGTTTGGGTATCATCATCATCATCATCACTTTATTTCTTAATTAGTCACTCTCCACCAAGGTGCTCCGAGCGACTTAAAATTTAAAACAGTTTATACACAATATAAAACATTCAATATAAAAACATTCAACATAAAAACATTCAACATAAAACATTCAACATAAAAACATTCAGCAGTGACTATGGCAAAATCAGCCAGCACACCAACGACTTAAATCAAGAAATAGTTTTCTAAGATCTACAGAGACACTTGCTGGAACACCTCAACAAGCGAGAGTCCAAAAGTGGCAGGCTCAAACCCAGAACCTCAATCAATGGCTGATACCAAATGAGAGACTTCCCCCTGGGCACACAGAAAACTGAGCGACTTGGAAGGCGCTGAACAGACTGCGCTCTGGCACCACGAAGTGCAGAGCCAACCTTAAGAAATGGGGCTACAAAGTGGAATCCACTGTATGCGAGTGTGGAGAAGAGCAAACCACAGACCACCTACTGCAATGCAACCTGAACCCTGCCACATGCACAATGGAGGACCTTCTTGCAGCAACACCAGAGGCACTCCAAGTGGCCAGCTACTGGTCAAAGGACATTTAATAGAATGCCAAGTTTTAAAACTTTGTGTTTTGTTTGTTTGTTTGTTTTTAATGCAATACAACTGTTTTGGTTCGCTCCTGACATGATAAATAAATAAATAAAATCTTGATTTCCTATATGAAGAATAGTCTATACACTTATGCACAGGGTGACCCAAAATTCACAAAAGGGTCCCTGTTCAAGGAGCTCCTTTTCCAGTTCCAATTCAAGGTACAGGTTATCATAAAGGTACAGGTTATCCCACCTGAGGGTGGGAGACCGGGACAGAATAGGGATTCTGTTAGTGTACCGCCCACCTTGCTGCACTACAGTCTCCCTACCTGAGCTAGCGGGGGTGGTCTCGAGCCTGTCATTGGAGTCCCAACGGCTTCTTGTGCTGGGGGACTTCAATATACACGCCGAGACTGCCTAGGGGGAGCGGCTCAGGACTTCATGTCTTCCATGGCAACCATGGGGCTGTCCCAACAAATAACTGGCCCCACCCACAGTGCTGGGCACACATTGGATTTGGTCTTCTGTCAAGGATGGGAGCAAGGTGGCGGGGTTGAGGAGTTATCCATCTCTCCGTTGCCATGGACCGACCACCATCTGGTCAGCTTTAGACTTACTGCACCTCCTAACCTCTGCAGAGGTGGGGGACCCATTAAGATGGTCCGCCCCAGGAGGCTTATGGATCCGAATGGATTCCTGACGGCTCTTGGGGAAATTCCTGCTGCCTCGGTTGGTGATCCTGTCGATGCCCTGGTGGCTCTCTGGAATGGGGAGATGACCAGGGCAATAGACACGATCGCTCCGGAACGTCCCCTCTCAAGTAGCCGAGCTAAACCAGCTCCTTGGTTCAACGAGGAGCTGGCAGCAATGAAGCGAAAAAAGAGGAGACTAGAGCGTGTGTGGCGTTCGGACCCGAGCGAGTCAAACCGAGCACGGTTTGTTGCCCTATTAAGGGCATATGCCGTGGCAATAAAGGCGGCAAAGAAATCTTTCTTTGCGGCCAATATTGCGTCCGCAAAGAACCGTCCGGCCGAGCTGTTCCGAGTTGTCAGAGGCCTGTTGAAGCCCACCACTTTGGATGGGAGCCCTGACAACTCGACAGCCCGCTGTGAAGCATTTGCTCGGTTCTTTGCGGACAAAGTCGCTTCGATCCGTTCAGGTCTGGATACCATGTTAACGGCAGTCTCTGAGGATGTGACGAGAACATCTGTCTGTCCGGTTTTGATGGATTCGTTTCAATTTGTGAAACCTGAGGATGTGGACGAGGTGCTTGGAGGGATGAGAGCAACCACATGCATCCTAGACCCCTGCCCATCCTGGCTTCTTAAGGAGGCCAGAGGGGGATTGGCCGAGTGGGTGAAGGTGGTGGTTAATGCCTCCCTTCGGGAAGGCAAAATTCCAGCCAGCTTAAAGCAAGCTGTTATAAAACCGCTGTTGAAGAAACCATCACTGGACCCCACTCAATTCGTCAACTATCGGCCTGTTTCCAATCTCCCCTTTTTGGGCAAAGTCCTGGAATGTGTGGTGGCCTCACAACTCCAAGCATTCTTGGTAGACACTGATTATCTGGATCCGGCACAGTCTGGCTTTAGGCCGGGGCATGGTACCGAGACAGCCTTGGTCGCCTTAGTGGATGATCTCCGGCGTGAACTTGACAGGGGGAGTGTGTCCCTGTTGGTTCTGCTGGACCTCTCAGCGGCCTTCGATACCGTCGACCACGGTATCCTTCTGGGACGCCTTGCGGGAATGGGCCTGGGAGGCACTGTTTTACAGTGGCTCAGGTCCTTCCTAGAGGATCGTACCCAGAAGGTGTTGTTGGGGGACACCTGCTCGTCCTCACAACCATTGATTTGTGGGGTCCCGCAGGGTTCAATTCTGTCCCCCATGCTGTTTAACATCTACATGAAGCCGTTGGGAGAGATCATCCGGAGTTTCGGGGTGAGGTGTTATCTGTACGCAGATGACGTCCAGCTCTGTCACTCCTTTCCACCTACTACTAAGGAGGCTGTCCAGGTCCTGAACCGGTGCTTGGCTGCTGTGTCGGACTGGATGAGGGTGAACAAATTGAAACTCAATCCAGACAAGACAGAGGTACTCCTAGTCAGTCGAAAGGCCGAACAGGGTATAGGGTTACAGCCTGTGTTGGACGGGGTCGCACTCCCCCTGAAGACGCAGGTTCGCAGCTTGGGTGTGACTCTGGATTCTTCGCTAAGCTTGGAACCCCAAGTCTCGGCGGTTTCCAGAGGAGCATTTGCACAGCTTCGGCTCGTGCGCCAGCTGCGCCCGTATCTTGGGAGGTCGGACTTGGCTACGGTAGTCCACGCTCTTGTCACATCCCGTATAGACTACTGCAACACGCTCTACGTGGGGTTGCCCTTGAAGACTGCCCGGAAGCTTCAGATGGTCCAGCGCTCGGCAGCCAGGTTGCTAACGGGAGCGGCTCTCAGGGAGCACACCACCCCCCCTGCTGAACCAGCTCCACTGGCTGCCAATTCGCTACCGGGCACAATTTAAGGTGCTGGCTTTAGCCTATAAAGCCCTACACGGTTCCGGCCCCACTTACCTCTCCGAACGCATCTCCTCCTACGAACCGGGAAGAGCGTTAAGATCTTCCGGGGAGGCCCTGCTCTCGGTTCCGCCAGCGTCACAAGTGCGGCTGGCGGGCACGAGAGACAGGGCCTTCTCGGTGGTGGCCCCTCGGCTATGGAATGCGTTACCGGTGGACATCAGGCAGGCCCCTTCGTTACTGGTGTTTCGGAGGAGGGTGAAGACGTGGCTCTACGAGCAGGCTTTCGGATAACCATGTAGTAACAACTAACTCAATAATGACGGCATCGGACAAGGAATGGAAAAAGGATCTTGAGATCGGAATCTGATTCTAAGTGTGGCGTTGATGATTATGTGTTTGTCTGTATTGTGTGTCTCATACATTGTTTAGTGTTGCTTTTTATTGTAAACCGCATTGAGTCGCCGCCTCAGGCTGATATATGCGGTATACAAATAGAGTAAATAAATAAATAAATAAATAAATAAAGCCCTGAATAGTTCGGGACCTGCCTACCTTCGTGACCACATCTCCCTCCATAAACCTGCACAATCTCTTTGATCTTCTTGGGAGGCCCTCCTCTCACACACCCCTCCATCACAAGAACATCTTGTGGGGAGGAGGGAGAGAGCCTTCTCCACTGTGACCCCTTGGCTTTGGAACTTGCTGCCTAGTGAGATTAGGCAAGCCCCTACCCTGGCAGCTTTTAAGAAAGACCTAAAAGCTTGGCTCTTCTGATGTGCCTTTGGCAAGTGAATATATATCCCATACTTTGTTTGTCCCAACTACAATTCTGTCCTCATGACGGACTCCCCCCCCCCCCAAATTACTCTTCCCTTTTGAGCTCCTCCCTCAGAAACACATTCTACTTATCTCATCCAGGGTTTTTATCAATTTTATCAATTTTATTTTAGCACATTTGGCCCGCCCTGTGTTCTAGCTATCATGTTATTTTGAAACTGTTTATTTTATTTTGTCATTTCATGTGTTTATTTTGATGGTATTTTGCTTCTTTGTATTTGTTTTGTTGTATTGTAATTTTGGGCTTGGCCTCATGTTAGCCGCTCCGAGTCCCCTTTGGGGAGATGGTGGCAGGGTATAAATAAAGATAATGATTATGATGATTATGATGATGATTATTATTATTAAATGCTATATACTGTAAATCAGTGGTTCCCTACCTTTTATTGACCAGGGACCACTTGGCCAGGGGCCACTTTGAC